TAAATAAATAAAAGCAACTATTTTAGCTGGCTACTCATAAAACTGTTTAAAGACAGAATGCTTGATCTAGAAGATAGGGATTTGGTCAGGTGCAGTGGTCCAAAATACGATCTCCCATTTCCAAACTTACTACATATTTTCAAATTAAGCATAAACTTTGGAGGACTTAATTCCTAAAACTTCATATACAATTATGAGTCCCAACATCTCTTTTTTAACAGAAGACTTATTTATACTCCAATCTTCTACAATACAATTTCCCCAAGACACTGACCTGAAGGTCTATTTGTCTTTTAGAAACTTCATTTTCTCACTTGCAGGACCTCTCAGACAAAGAGACTGCATGGCCTTCTGCGCCCAGGGTCCTCTGTAACCAAAGATTCCCACTGTAGTGATGATGTAAGCTTTCCAAACACAATCAGAAAAAAACCCTAACTACGGGGGTCTTCTACACAACTCTAGCGGAGACTTTTTTGCTATTTTATTAAATGTATTTGGAATAGGTAAGTAAATAATAGAGCTTCTTGGTACACAAATGAAATCATTTTTTTCCTCACATATCCTGGCCTCGGGATGAGGTCATATTACTTGGGAAATGATGCTGTATGCATTCACATTTTTCAAAGGGGCTAGGAAAATAAAAAGATTTCAATATTGTTCCAGGTATCCTCGAGACGGTCAGTCAGATTATTTCTGGATGGGTTGCTGATCAAAACTGGATTAAGAAGTATCATTACCACAAGTCTTACCTCATCCTCTGCGGCATCACTAACCTGCTTGCTCCTTTAGCCACCACATTTCCACTACTTATGACCTACACCATCTGCTTTGCCATCTTTGCTGGTGGTTACCTGGCATTGATACTGCCTGTACTGGTGAGTAGACACACTCATTAACATTGTTAAACCATTCAGTAAAAGCAAATATCAGTAACAATCTCCCCAAAATATGTATTTTGTATTAATTTTATAACTTAAAAAAATCATTTCAAACATCTTAGAAACTCTGCAGCTATATCCTGTCCAGTTACTCATCTTGTGTGTGACGGGGGAGGGATGGTGAGAGGACTATCCACATGGGACAGCAATAAAATTAAAGCAAAAAAGGGATCAGCAGGATTCCTTTTTACTTATCAGTCTCCTAGATTAGGCTTGTGTTCACTCCTCTCCTTCAGTTCCAGAAACTTGTTTGGCTCCTTTTAAGACATAATCTTAAAGAAGAGATCCCTGGGAACACAGAGAAAAACGGATTTCCTTACCAGTGTGGTTTCTCTCTTGAAGTTATTGCTTTGGTCCTGTGTACTTTCACAGGGCCATTGTTTCATACTTCCTCTCCACTTTTACCCTAAACTGACTCAAAGTCCTTGACCCAGATGCAACCAAAATACTTCTACAAATACTTCTGTGTTCTGGGAACCCCTGGGAATTTCATGGGTTCTCCTTAGAACCAGGTGCTAAACATGCTGGAACAGATTTCCTAGAAAACTTCTGTTCTATCAATATTAGCATAAGTGCTACAGGATATTATACGAAGCTCAGGCAAAAATCAAGCTTCCTAAAGCTGAAATTAACTCCTTGTGTTATCTGATTACTTACGAACCAATGGCTGATACCTAGCCTTAGGGGATTCAAGAATATCACCATCTGGCCGGGTGTGGTGGCTCACACCTGTGTCAGCACTTTGGCAGGCAGAGGCAGGTGGATCACTGGAGCTCAGGAGTTGGAGACCAGCCTGGGCAACGTGGTGAAACCCCGTCTCTACGAAAAATAAAAAAATTAGCCAGGTGTGGTGGCACGCACCTGTGGTCCCAGCTACTTGGAAGTAGCTCCCTTGAGGTGGGAGGATCGCTTGAACCTGGGAGGTGAAGGTTGCAGTGAGCCAAGATCATACAACTGCACTCCACTCTGGGTGACAGAGTGAGACCCTGTCTCAAAAAAAAAAAAAAAAAAAAAGAATATCACTATCAATTCATATTGTAAATATCATTTCCTAATAGGGAAAAGCAGCAAGGTTTGGGGAAGAAAAAGTACCCATGAACCACCTAAAAAATTAAAATGAAAATACAAACTTGTATTCTTACTAATAAACTGAAAACACTGCCTGCCTAGCAGTTACTGTTCACTATTAGTCCTCAGCTCTTTCACAATACTGGGGGCAAAAAGCCAACCAACTCACCCCAGAAGTCACACTGTTCATAGCTTGAGATTATATAAATAGTATTTGTCCCTTTTAGGCAGAAGTCTCTATAGAATTTCACCCTTAATGTGGCTAACACTGAATTCTAATTCCTACAGGTTGATCTGTGTAGGAATTCTACAGTAAACAGGTTTTTGGGACTTGCCAGCTTCTTTGCTGGGATGGCTGTCCTTTCTGGACCACCTATAGCAGGTAACACCTTTCACCACATTCTGAACAAATTTCAATAGCAATAAAAGGAAACACTGATCCAGGATTAATGGTAAACATGTAATGACAGTATCAGGTTAAAAGAAACAGATTATTTCTGCTTTTCCTATATCTACTCACTCCATCACCAATGCAGGAAAATCTGAAGGCTCAGATTCTTGTATTCTCTTAAGATGTGCCTTAAGCAGATTCTTATATTCTTGGGAGTTGTAGGGCAGACCCTGGATCTATGTCTACTTGTCTGGGGGAGACAATCCAGAGTTTTTTCAGAGCCTCAAAGACCCATGATGCTTAAAAAAAAAAAAAAGAAAAGAAAAAGAAAAAGAATAAAAAAGGCTGGGAGCAATTGCTGACGTCTGTAATTCTAGTACTCTGGGAGGCCAAGGCGGGGGTTATCACTTGAGCTGAGGGGTTCGAGACCAGCCTGGGCAACAGAGAGACCTTGTCTCTATAAAAGAAAAAACGAAACAAACAAAAATCAATGTATGACTAGCATCCTGTATCTAAACATGAGTCACTTTTATAGAGCTTGAAAGGTATAGGCCTGACACTTTTATTCTTCTGATGTGCCATATGGATGTCCAGGATTGCTTGTTATCTGTTCTTTAAGTATCTTTCTTTGAAAAGAGGCCCTTCAAATTGTGGGTACCAAGGATGGAAGGATACTTGCCCTAAAGGCCAGATCTCTATGGAGAGGCTATTGGGGGCCATTGAAAATTATTATATACAAGTGCAGTAAACATTTGGGGAGTTCTCATATGTAAGTTAACTTTAAGATTCAAATTGTAGTTTTACATTCACCTTTTACCTAACTGGACATTTTATGCTTGCTGAACATTTAATCTAATACTATTATAAACTTAAATACTCACACAGAAATATTTCTAGGGAACAGACCTAAACTTCAGTTTCTCACACACCACAGGTTCTCAATGTATTTCAATGTACAAATTACTATGACATTTCTAATCATCCACAAAAAGGAACTTAGCCTAAAACCTACTTTTGCTTCTTTTAGTCCTGAAGTAAGACAGAAGGGAGTTGATCTTGTCTCACTATCATTATTTAAAAATTAAGTTTCATAATGATGTTAAATTTATACCTCTTAAGACTCAGAAAGGGGCCAGGCACAGTGGCTCACGCCTGTAATCCCAGCACTTTGGGAGGTCGAGTGGGTGGATCACCTGAGGTCAGGAGTTCGAGACCAGCCTGGCCATCATGGAGAAACCCCATCTCTACTAAAAATACAAAAATTAGCCAAACGTAGTGGCAGGCACCTATAATCCCAGCTAACTCTGGAGGCTGAGGCAGGAGAATTGCTTGAACCCGGGGGATGGGGTTGCCATGAGCCGACTTCACTTTGCACCACTTCACTCCAGCCTGGGCAACAGAGCGAGATTTCATCTCAAAAAAAAAAAAGATTCAGAAAAAGTAAATATTAAAGGAAGGAGTATAAACTAAGGATAACAAGAATTGTTACTGAGAGGGCCTGGCATAGTGGCTCACGCCTATAATCTCAGCACTTAGGGAGGCCAAGGTGGGAGGATTGTGTGAGTCCAAGAGTTCCAGACCAGCCTGGACAAGATAGTGAGGCACCATCTCTACAAAAAAATTTTTAAAAATCAGCCAGATGTGGTGGTGCATACCTGTAGTCCCAGCTACACAGGAGGCTGAGGTAGGAGGATTGCTTGAGCCCAGGAATGAGGGCAGTGAGCCTTGATCATGCCTGGGTGACAGAGTGAGACCCTGTCTAAAAAAAAATTCGTACCGGGAACAAAAAACTATGCCACTATCTGAGGTTCAATTAAGGTATACTTATTCTAAAGAAAAAATTTATATAAATATGCAACTAACTCTCTTATTTGCATTTATGAACACACCCCTTCCCATGCTATCTAACACTTAGCCTACGTTTCACACCTGGAAAGCAGGCTAGAATTATAAAGTAAAGCCCAGAATTGTTATATAGGGACTAGTAAAAGGAGGCCAAATACCAGAAGTACCTTGCACAACTACTCTATGGCTAGTACCCAGGACACTGAGATACAGAAAACAGAGCTCAAACACAGTTTGCTGATGCATTTTTTCAATCTTGATCCTTCTTCACTGGCTGTCCCAGTAGTACCTTGAAACTTTTCAAGCCTATTGGGCCAAAAGTACAAGGAAGTAACAAATACAAGGGCATAGAATATCTTACTCAAATGAAAAAGACAAGCGACAAAACTATAACACGTTTAATGTCCTATATGTCTTTGTATACTTCTTAAAATAAAATGTTTAAATGTTATGTTTAAATAGTTCAATACTCGAGAAGACAAGGCAAGTTTTCTGAAGACCATTACCTGAAAAGAAAAAGCTACAGGTATATATGTGAGTTCTGAAGTAAATTTGTTGGGTAATGATCTCATTGTTTTTATGAAAACAGACTACCACAGAGCAGATTAAAAAACAGAATATATCACTTTATTTTCAAACTTTTATTTCATACACACACACACCTATGTAATGTAAAATATGAGATATAAAATACTTCTGTCAATAAGACAAAAAAAAGTTAACAAGCTTTTGTTAGCCCAAATCCAGTATATCCTAGCACCATACGTAAGGATAAAAAACTCATAATATATTTTTTTACCCATTAATTCAGAGAGTATTACTTAGGCAGCCATACATTCTGTAAGCTCTACAAAAAAGTCAAAGCAAGTTATAAGGTTATTGCTAAAGCTTACGTAGAAATTTTTAGTCCAGGACGTTCTCCTAGTATCTTAAACAAGATTCTAACTGCAATGCTGTGCCCTTAACCATCTGTTGAAGAAATAAATTACAGGAAAGCTTTGTTCCTCTAAGTCATTCCTCGGTGAAATGACAGAGGACGTTACAAAGGCCATTAGATTTGTTTCTAACTTCTGACTCCAGCAGCAACTACCAAAGAAACATTAGAAATTTTGATGTACAGATCAACTCAGTTCTTGCAGATGTAGGCAGAACTGAGTCTTCAACTGAATCAAAAGGTTTACTGGTGATGAAACATTAAATTATCAACCAAACTTAGAATCTTCAGAACTGTATAAGATTCTCATTTTTTACTTACCTAAATCTGTTATTACCAAATCGCAAAAGTTGAAACTCCTATAAAAGAGTATAGGCATTTTAAATTAGGAATCTAACAAAAGTAAAACTTCTCATAATAATCTTCAGTCAAAACACTACTTAAAAATGGTAACATTTCAGCCATGCTCTTGTAGATCACACAGACAAAAAAGGTAACACATTACATGAACAATATTTCTGTCCTTCCTGTATGAAAATAAAAAAGAAAACAATATTAGTTCTATGCAACATATTTTAATAATTCAAGGAAAGCAAAATAGCACAAGAAATTCATAGACCCATATATACTATTCTTGTATTTTTTAAAATATAGAGAATATGGGCAAGAAAATTATACACCTCGATTTTTTACCTTTCTTTCATGATTTTAAGAAATAACGGTAGCAACAAAATTCTTTACTGAAACTGAGAGATTGAAAGGATGAAAGTTAAAACTTACCAGTCCCCACACCTCCTTTGTAAGACAACGCCCTGCCCACCCACTCTACCCCAAAGTCCCTTCTTATTCCTTTGCAATACTCAGTAACAATTTCAATTTTAATTAAAAAATATGGCCTGCATTGGAGTAGATGAGTTTTAGGATTGTTCTAGGTTCCCTGACCCAGGGTGGTTAGTAGACCTAAGTGTAGACCAAATGTCACACAGCTCATTCAAACCCAACTGCTGCTTTTGGGGTTAGATGGCACCCAGAACTACACACTAGCACAAAGATGGAAGCCTTGGAAGGCTGTGGAAAAATGAGAAGTATTGATATTTTAAGCCTTATTTCTCACAGACTCCTGTTAACAAAAGTAAACCTGCAAAAAAGCAATATAAATACAAAAATAGTGCCTTGGGCAGAAAAGCAAGTATATCTAATCACATTCTCCAACATACAGGGCAGATGTAAGCTACTTACATGAAATTCCTACTCTTCCATTCAAGGCATTTGACATGAAAGCTCAAAATGCTCAAGGCTCAGTTTCATTTTAAAATAAAACCAAGGGACTATATTAGTTGCCTATAAAATAAAACTGAATGCAGTTCCCCACTTCTCCATATTCCCCCCTTTCCCAACTGACAAATGCATACACTATGCTAACATACATATATGATCATTTATTTAAATTAATCACAAATATCTTCTGAAAACCCCCTAAAACACTATAAGTAATTACTTGATTACCTGGTAATCAAGTAACTATCAAATAAATACTTGAAACTTAGCATTCATTCAATAACTGTCAACCAAATCACTAGCAGAGTACTCTGTTAAATGCTATGTGGGACACACAGAAGATAAAAGTTACTCACAGTCCTCACATGACTCACCAGGTCGTGACACAGTATTCACTCTGCCACATACACTGCCGGGACTTCATACTAAGAACAGCCTAGAACCTCTACAACTGTGAATTATTAGAATCTGCATTCTTCTACTTCATTAACTGAACACCTGATTAAGTCACTGTAGCCCATCACCTTATTTTCTTACCTTTAATTGAAGACATTCTGAGCTGTGGGATAATAAAATGACTTTAAAATATGTTGAAGTTTAAGTCAAGCAGGTATTTCACGCTTGTTTTTCCCCCCACCAAGCCCTAGAAAAATCATTTCTAACGCCAAATAGTTGTAAGTCAATTGTACTCCAGCATACGTTAAAGTCAACTAGCTCCTAAAGAAGTTTATGTCTCTACTATTTACCGATCTCATCAGAAATACCATGGAGTGAGACTGGTAATTTTGCACTAAGTCTGTTTGTGTTTTACGGAAAAAGTTAAGTGCTAAAATATATATTCATCCATCTAAGCTTATATCTGTCCCCCTATCACAGAAAAGTCATCTCCTCATGAAATGATAGGTCATTTCCTATCTATCCCATTCTCAATTTC